TTTTTTTTTTTTTTTTTTTGTCTTCATGGTGCCTAGGTTTCTCGAGCTTAAATAACTTCCCCGCTTTTATGTTACAGCAAACTCGACAATGTATTATATCCCAGTCATCCTGAATTTCCATTCCGCACTGTTGATCTCAGATAAAGATCCCCTACATCACTCATATGCACAGGTAGAATGAGAGAAAATAGCCACATGTCTATAGTTGAGACTAATTTGCTGTTGCCGTGCTAGCAGTCCCTTATTATCCCTATATAAACAGGACAGGAAAATGTAAATAAACGAATATACACAAGTATGAAAACACATAAATAACACCGCCACATAGCGGCAAGTTACGAATAATCAAGCCACTAGGCTTGTCCCTTAAGCTACTACAGTTGGCTTTCAGTACAGGGCCAGCTGCGACATCCCGAGGGCGTCATGGTCAGGGAATTGGGTTGTCCACGGATCCCAACAGACACCCGAGCCTCCCCGCGCTGCAGTGCTAAAAGAAGCATATGTCCTCTCGCACAGAAACCGGTGGATTCCTCATCGGGTAATCCCTCGTAGAGCGCCGTAGACAACGATGACAATATGCCACCCGGTCAACAATCCCCAAATTCATAGATCTGTTGGGTGAGGTGCTTTTCTTGCGGCACACCAGGATGTGCAGAAAGAGGAGAACGGGGATTATCAGGAGGAGTGGTGTGGCCGTGGATATTTTGGGACCAAGACCAAGAACAGCCTGGCCCCAAACTTCACCAGCCAACAGCCGCGAGCCGTGCCACCGAGACAACCCCGACAGAACAAGACACCTGTGCCGCTCTATGGCGACCACGGCAATGATCTAGAAAATGTGGATTACGACTGCATCGAGGTAATGGTCTCAACTTGCTCGGTCATAATAATACGGTGTTGTGGAAGCTTCGAAGGGGATTGGAGGGTATTTGGATCCGGGCGCGTAATAGGTATCGGGAGGACAGAATTTCCATGTAGATCAGTAGCGACTGTTTCATAAGGTACCTAAGCAGGAGTGCGAGTGACAGCCGAGTTAGTGCCCTTCATCTGGGATTCTTCCTATCGTCTTGGTCTAGGTGAATTCGCCGCAGGTGAAGGCATTACCGGGTGACTGTCTCTCACTTGGTAGGCAGGCCCCTTCCGTCTGATATAGATATATCCGCAGTGAAGGTAGGGCTTGCTCATATACGGTATTGAGATTATTCCTTAAGCACCAGGCATCAATGAATCGCGGCTGAAGTTGGTGAACAGACATGGCCGCGTGACCAGATACCATTCGTACATGTCATGGCCGTTTATGGAGAGTCATACCATTGTTGAACTGAAGGTCCTTGGTCCATATCCAGTCACACATCCCAGCCGCCATGATTGGTCTCACGTCCACCCCTTGCCCAAGCACCATGGTCTTCCAGAACGTACGACAGATTGTATCCAACGGTTACACCTGCGTTCCCGGCCGAACTTCACAACCCATGCCGTACCCGTGTTCTTTGCCTTACAGGGCCAGTGAACGGAGCTTATCCCTGGTTCGTGTGACCTCCATCAACCCTTCAACAAACATATGTCAGTGTCCAATAGTCTTCACGAACGGCGATGGGTAAGATCCAGCCTTGTGTCTGCACGGTGAAGGGTTCTGCATATATCAAGGCCAGGACCCTTGCCCTGGGAGCCTTCAATACTGTGAGAAAAATGCCTTGCAGCGTTTGGTGAAATGACTCTAAAATGAAGACGGTCCCCCATTCATGATGCACCAACTCCTAGATCCTTCATGTTCGGCCATCTCAGCCTCCATGTTCAGAAGATGTTCGATGGAGGGGGCATGGTGAATGTCCTTGGGAGCCATGATCAAGCATCATGGCAAAAGCATCATGATGAACAGCGAGCAGTCCCAGCATCCATGACATGCTCCATCAACGAGGAAATCAAAGCCATAAATGCTCATAAAAGACCGGCCATGTTGGTGGTTCTGGCCGGAAACTCTTGGTCCTTTTCTTCCCCATCCCCAACCGACAACGAAGAAAACGAGAGCAACCTACTAGTCTACCACTCAAGCAGAAATCATGGCGCCAACCACCCAGAACACCTCCAACCAGGAGGTTCAGGAGTTAGACACAACCCCCGTGACCAGTCCATCAGGACCACCAGCCACACCACGTAACCGTTCCTTTTCTTCCCTTTCCTCGCCTTCTTCGTCCTCCACTTCCCCCTACGCCACCGCGGTAACCACTCAGCCGCGACGACGGGAGCCTTCTCAGCCCCTGGATGTTACTCCCTTAGCCACCTCCAACTTCCTCGTCGCCGGCACGGACGCAAGTTTCATGGGATACACAACTCCCACCAGATCTGAGTCAGGCACAGCAGCAGCAATAACGGCACAGGGCATGGGGATAACAGGCCAAGACACAGTCGACTCTGCTAGCACACCACAGGCTCATGATAGCTCGACGCGCGAGGAAGAAGTGAATACAGAGGATGCTGCAAAGAGGAGGAAGATCAGGATGCAGACAGGGGCTGCTCGTTCAGCTTTTTTAAACTGGGTGGGGATAAAGGGAGGTTAGCCATGATGAGCCTGGCAAAAAGGAGGTGGAGGAGGAGGACGGCGCGATGGCGCGACGGAAGAGGAGTTCGATAAGTGGGATAAAGTTACGAAGGAATGGGGGAAAAGAAGGCGGTACTTGAGGTTCTGTTGGGTTGGGGACTCAAAGTGAAGCGGTTGCCCTGATGAAAGGATCGGTAAGCACGAGGCAGCAACGATTGGAAGGGACGAATGTTGAAGTCTTGGAGTTCTAGGAAATCGGTAACAGCCGAAGGACGGAGGAAGGTTCATGACATCATGTCTGCCTTCCTGCTTCAAAAAGAGTGTGAAGGAAAGAGCGATGGGAGAGAGTGAATGGACAACTGCAGCAAGACATGAAGGGGATGGGAGACTGGGACGTTAGGTTGAAAAGCAGTACATTGGACAATGACATAGTGGAAAAAAAAGGCAATAAGAAACGTTAACTCTTTTCAACTGCCGACCTAACAGTCTGGTTCAAGACTTTCCTGTCGTGAAACCGCGGCCATGTCCATGTCAAAGCGAAAAACGATGTGCATGAGTCCCTGGCCCAATAGGTTCGGAAATAAGCCAGTCGGATGGCTTGCCCTTTCTGTCTTTTTCCTCTGACATAGAGGTAAGTATCTCCAGAGGTATGAGTCACTGTGCAATATGTAGGTACGCGTCAAAGATGTATTGAATAACGATAAACCCATCCAGGGGTTTGAAAAGCTCCAAAACAATTGTAACGTAACTTGTTTAGAGGAAAAAGCGTGAAACCGACCAATGCGAGAAAAAAGATCGAAACTATTGCCGCGCCTCTTCACCTTGCACCTTTCTTGTACTTCCCATGTCATGTCAAGCCACGATCACTTGATCATCAAGGGCACCGACACCGAGAAGAAGAAACTTCTCAGCCCTGCAAGGTGATAATGACACCCACAGAACTTGCTCATTTTATGGTGGCTTTCTGATGGCTTGGAGAAATTAAGGACCGGGTGTTCGGTAGATTAAACCCTTGTCTGCAGGCGCAAATAATTAATAATCACAGGAAAAGCAAAGGAAAAGGGCACAAAGAGATGGAGCAACTCAGCATACTATCTAGAGGTACCTAGTCAACGCAACAGATGCTAATCAAGATCGTGAGAAGGTGAGCGAGATGGATGGCTTTGTGTAATCCCTTGCCATTTACTAACAAGTACGGTAGTACGGTAAACATAAATCCGATCAATGGGTTTTCATAACTCCGGCGCGCGCTTGCATAGGTATTCCACCTTCTCGGTTCATGTTTTATTATAAGATACTAGAGGCAGGTACTAGAGGGCGACAGCGACAGGGAGGAGAATCCTTCCTCCAACTTTTTTCTTTTGGCCATCAAAAGCAAGGCAAGAGTACAATAAAGAACCTAAAAAAAGGCTAACGGCTCGCTTGTTTCCTAAAGGCATGGCATGGCATGTCGTCACTTATCTTTGCCGGGTCTATTGCTTTTTGTCACCTCGCGACATATCGCAAACGATCTTCGGACCCTTCGGGCCCGAGTTAGGAAGTCTATGATCAAAAGAAGAAAGCAATTGGTAGCGTTGTAAGCCCTAAGGACTTTTGTCCGGAGAACGGGTGGGCTGTCAGGGAGTCCAGTCGAATATCCGAAACAGTAAATCCGATAATCTGCGACTGTTCGGAGTTTTCAAACTCGACGCTGGTGGGATCTGGTTTAGCTTCTGCATGTCATCTTGCTCGAGTTATCGTGGGAAGTGAAGAATGCAACAGTGTACCTCAAGATACCTGCATGACAGGCTTAATCCCCAAGAAGTGGATGAACAGACGGATGCGAAGGCTGACGGGCAAACACATCTTTGGCGTATTTACTGTCGCCGGAGGAGGAGGGTACCTTAGGTATATGGGGACATGGGATGATAGAAAGACAACATGAGGTTGGCTTTCGTTGTCGTCAGGTGTTTTAACACTGCGTCTATGCAGGTCCCAACAGGTCCTGACGCGGTTCGTCCCTCCCTGACAGCACTTTTTAAGCGCGAGCTTTTCCTTTTGATACCTTATCCCGAGGAAAAAAGGAACGAAGCGTTCATTCGGCTTTTGGAGCTTGTCGTGTCCAAATTGCCGACGCTTTCGTTCCTTGCTATTTTGCATCCGATCTTCATGAGCAATCAGGCAGCAAGACCTGGTGCACAGTTAGTCCATCATAACCCGCACAACAATCTCTAGGAGGATGAGAGATGTCGATTACAAAGCAGACTGACCATGTCTGGAGATACTTTATAGCAAGTGAGTCTTATCATCCACTTGCCGAAGGTAAGAGATTTGACCGCGTGAGTCTACAATACGAAGACGGCAGATGTGCAAGGTGCCTCTACCCTATCAAAGCCATGTTTCTCCTGCTTTCTTAACATCCAAAACGTATCGGAGAGACGATGAAGCTCCATAGATACCTTACCTAGGGTATAGGTACTAGCGTTCGCCAGCCAAAAGAAAGGCTTTGCTCCCAGGTTATTGACAGGTTCGGTATGAAGCCGTGAGGACCGAAAAGATGAGGCAAGAGGCCACATCTCACACAGTACGATTTGAAGGACTCCTGGAGAGAGAGGTCCTTGACCTTCCCCTTCACCGGCAGACAACCTTGAAACCGGTGAAAGTGTCTCAGTCGTGAGTGATGCTTCTTTTCCAAGCTATCGGTAAAAAAGATGGCTTGCTAGGCCTTGCCAGGCCCTGCCAGGGTGTGTAAGGTGTGTGCCGTGTGTGTGTCTGTCTGCAGCCACTGTCTGGTTCGGAATCTCCTACTACTCCCAGAGGGTCTCACCATTGCAACACCCCGGTTTTCCGATATTACCAAATCCCAAGCATCTAGTTCAACCCCGTATTTCTTGCGCGGTTCCCCTCAGACGGTTCATTGGTACTGCGAGGAGTATAGTCCCCCCTTGGAAAGAGTTCTGATCGGTATTTCGCTCCGTATGTGGTCCAATTCCGTGATGTTGCAGTGAAGGAAACATTATGAGCCGATTTCGATCACGGAGTGCTTCACTGTTCTTCACATATCGATATTACCCAATTGCCCTGAATATGGCCAGCTTGGCTGGCTTTATTGGCATATGGGCGTGAAAAAGGGGCAAGTGGCCAGTTTTTTCCCCCCCATCTCTTGGGAAATGGAAGACGTCGACGATCTGGTGGCTTCAAGCGCTGACAGTCATCTGATGTGTCACCAATGCGGGTAGGGTGTGGATGATCATGTCTCGTTTTCGCGTCTGGAATTCCTTGGGGGTGCTTGGGCTATTGCGTCGTCGTGGGATCCTTCGTTTCGCTGCGTTGTTGTTGGGTGGTGGATAAAGTGTGTCTCGGAGACGATGGACACGGTTCCGTGGGCGAGGACGGTCACTTTCCCGGTGTGCTAGAACCGGAGCAGTTCCGGGCCTGCGGTCATTGATGATGCGCTAGAGATTAGCGTCAAGCTTTATTTCTTGGTGTGGCCTTGGGCGCTCCGCTCACCGAGTCAGCCCCTGATTGGGCGCCTATGGAGGAACCGTGATGAGTGGCTGTGTCCCAACGGAGTGAGAGACAAGGGGCATGCGATAGAGACAACCCAACTGCTGCATGTCTCATCACATCGGCGACACGGAATCGCATCGACCTTATTCGTGCCCTATTCCGGCTGTTCCTGCCTTTTCCTTGCCCGTTCCTGGACACAATAGGCACACAATGTCGAAGGAAGACCAAAACCACCTCAAGCTGAAGGAACTGTTTGGGCCCAAAAGGGAAATGGCCTGGTGCGTTGCATCCGCCCAGTGACCACCACCAGCTCACAGTCTCTCACAGTGTTCCCATCCGCTGTGGGGAGACGGGGAAAGGTAATGATCAGAAGCTGACGCTGGCTGAACGTTGAGTGATTGGGGGGAGCAATGGAGCATGGAAGTTGGCTTGGCTGGATGCCTGGGGAAAGTCTTCAGCAGCACCCACCTGATTCGTGATCAGGGGGTTACCAATAAACCGGGTCAGCACATGGAACAAACGGAGAAAGAAAAACGGGGGATCACCTGTACCGTGTCGATAGGGGATAAGATCAAGCATGCAACGCTGAACTACTCCCTTGGCAATCGTCGCCAGTGCCCTGTCAATGCCTTCATCATCTTGCTTTGCTTCGTTGCAACGTGCCCGTCCTTGGTTGCTGTACCAAAATCTTACACGTAGAGAGCATATATGAGATGTGTTATCACCCACACCCATCCATCATCCATGTATTCGGGTATACATCCAACGACGCCCTCAGAAGCTCTCTTGCTGTGACGGAAAAGTTTGTCGACGACCGACCGGCACCCTTCCAAAAATCCGGTTTCCAGGTTCCTTTGTCTCGGAAGTCTCGTGAGCGTTCGCTGGCACCAAGGTGAACATACATTGAGCGGTGGTGGTTTGGGGGGGGTTTTTTTTTTTTTTTAAAAAAAAGGACGGGACGCACATAAAGTCAAACAGCAACACACACCACCTTAGCTGCCCGGCTTGCCTGACCTTGAAGAGAAAATCTGCGTCCATGGCCGCCACGCTCCCACGCCCGGCTGTCCTGCCGCACTCCGGCGGGTGTCAGTCGTGTTCAGCTTCAGACCGTCTTTCACTTCAAATTATCTCCTCTTCATCAGCAGCATCAAAAACTAGCGGCAACAACACCAGCACGGCGGGGAGCTTCGCCAGCAGTACGCCCACCAATAACCCACCAACACCAAGTGGGGCCAAATCACGACCGCCACCACTATCACCACACAAGCAGAAGCAACAGCAGCATGCCGATTCCAACATGTCGCAAAGCGTCATCTTGGCCCATTCGAGAGAGCTAGAGCCTCACCGTCCAGTTTCAACGTCGATGCAAGATATCACCTGGTGTCCGATGCAAGAATCATCGCAATATGAAGACGATGTGACGACGTCTTCCCCCGAGCTGCTCGTAGCCGTATGGCCGACAACAACAATGACAACAACATCACCATCGACAGATGGACGCAGCCGACAACCAACACAGAGTATCAGCATCAGCGAGTCTGTCGAGACGCCGTTTATCCACATCCCGCGGTGCAAATTGTCAGTCACCAATTTCGACGATATTCACCAGCCGTTACCAGCAGCAGGCAGAGGGGGTCCATATCCGGGACATGGAAGCATCAAGATCGAGCAAGTGGCTCTGCCGCGGGCCGTGGTGCAGCAATTCCTGTCTGGCGTCCGCCTGCCCAACGGGATTGCTGGTATGGATGTTGACGTCGCCTTTCCTCGCCACTTTGACGACGCCGATGAGTGGGTGCAGTCGCGGTGCATCTTGTCGGACTTCTCCGAGCTGGACGAGGAAGAGGCGGCTCAGCTGTCGAGCGAGGAGAGGTTGTGCTGCTGGGGAAGCATCGTGTTGACGAGGGACGGAGATAATGGATGGGACTTGGGATTCGTGATGCACCGCGTGTTGACGCAACGGGATCCTGTCAGCGGGACTTGTGGTTGTGGTCGTCGATGACCGGCACACCGGGTGTATCAATGTCACTTTGGCGGGAAACGTATCATTTATACCGTGCCGATTCCGGCGGGGGGTTTTGGGCGTTATGTTGTTCTTCTTCCTTTTGGGTCCATCGAGTAAGTCTCTTGAGGGATAACAAAAAGACGGAGGAAGGTCCGGTATGGCGTTGACAGTGCAAATTTCCATTGGGCGGGCAGCGAGCTGAACTTGAAGGCACACTTGAGCGGGAAGGCCGGGTAGGGTAACCACGCATCATTGTACACGTACACTATCCAAATAATGGCTGTAATCGATCTCCATATCCAGGCGCATCCGAGCATTTAAAGTGAAGGACCGAAGTAGTGTAACCGGAGCATTCGAGGATCCTGAGTCGCGGAGCGGAGTTGTACATATAAAAAGAAATCAACGCAGGGCTGCAATTGTCTTGAGAAGCCGAGAAGATCACCGAGTTTTGTCCTTTGTCCATGTTGCCTGGTGCTTGCCTCCAAGGGGGAGGGGGCATTGTAGCGGAGATTGAAGAGAACCAGAGCGATATGATCCTGCCCTGGCCTGTCCACACCGGGCCTTCCTCCGGTGGCCAACCAAATGAGCAGGAACGGACTCCGGACGCTGCGACAGGGTAGAACGGTCAACATGGCAATATTGCTGTGGTCAGCGTCGTTGTGTGCCCAACAATTCCTTTCCAGCCGTGGGATCTCGATCACAAGACCCGACCCGGTGAATGTTCGGGCCAATCGGAGAGATACTATGACTGCGGCAGCAAGACCGTTGAAGATTGGAAAAGGGAAACCATCATGATGTTTTGAAAGAAGACCGAATTACGAGCAGATTGAGGTTAGACTTGACGGGTTGCAGCGGTGCTTCTGGCCAAGAGAGCGAGAGAATGCAGGGTTCAATGAAGGCACGTTCTTGATGGCCTCAAGGATTGCTATAGGCGCAGGACACCGCCGATCGCTCGAATGCTCGCTGCAATGTGAACATGATGTTTAATGTACATACCACATGTTGTCATCCCAACGGCGGAGAAAACAGAGCGGTTGGATGGCTCAAAACGACGAGCAGGAGAAAGAGACCAACCAAGATGCGACGATCATCAGGTTCCTTCAATATCAACCGCGATCGGGAAAGCTGACAGTGAGACGGCAGAAACAGCAATGGCTCAAAGGATAGGTAAGGTAGAGAGAGGTACACACTAGAAGGTGTTAGTGTTGACAGTCAATGGGCTCTGGCCAATCAGACATCGTTTTGGGCGAATCGGAGGTGCCTCCTACCCGGCAGCCAGATGCCCGTGGATAGCCTGAGGCGTGCCTATCGTATGATGCTAGCGAGGGTCTGTCAGTGACTTCACCCACCATTCAGCACTCAACTTTGCGGAAGTCGAGCCTGGCCCTGGCAACCACAGCAAATCAGCGTTCAACAAGAGGGAGCGCCAAGGTTTCTGGGACCACTGGATCGCGAGTGCATCAGAGAAAATTAAACAGGGAACAAAATGGCAAGGGAAACCACTGCCAGAATCCAGTCTGTTACAGCATGATCCCGACTCAGGACCGCTAGCCAGGACATATAGAACACGGCCTCCCCGGCGAATCTGTCATGAAATTGTCCCTTTTATAGAGAATTGGAGAATCGGTTGCGCGACAGTGGTATCATGCTTTCCTATTCCAGCACTGGGGCAGCACGGCACCAACGCGGATTCAACGCAGCTTCACTGGCTTCGAGGGGCTAGAAGGATATTATTCGGTTCTCAGACACTTATGCGCGCTGGAAAAAGCAAGGGCACAACCGACTACCGTCTGGCTACCTGCCTTTAAGGGACCACCGGTCTTTCTTTCGTCCACACCTCGGAAACTTTCCATTTCTATTTACACGACTCTCCTCAGGTACGGATTCAGGACCCGTGCCCATCTCGCAAATCTCGACTTCCATTGTTGAAGATAAAGGCGGAAAATGGGTTATTACGTCGGGAAAGGGACAACCCTGTTTGGAGGGGGACCACAATGATGGGAAAGGTACCTCTGAGCTGACTTACAAAACCGTTGCCAATCCCCCCCACTATTACAGCAACACCGACTACCACCAAAGCGCACCAACCACCACCACCACCGGCGACACCTCCGACAAACCAAGGGGAAGGGGCACACCGGCGCAAATTCGACCACGCGGGACGGGAACACAACTCGTTTTCACGCAAAATCTCTCTCTCAACACAGTACAAATACGTGGATCTTTCTGACGTCAGAAACCTTGTTGCTCTGCCTGGCTGCCATATATCCATTTGTTCCCCAATTCCCGTCTTTGCTTTGCCAAACAAAAAGAACACCAAATCTCACCACCAAAATTCACCACCAATCCGTCTCCCCTCCTCCACCACGATGCACCGCCAGGTAACACCACCACTACCACTGGCGCTAAGCACTACCACTACACTACCACCATCATTAGCACTATTGTTATCATCGCCGCCACCACTCACCGTTCGTCGCTACAACTTCACCACTGCCAAAGTCAAAAGCCAAAAATGCGGAACAAAGCCAGAGAGTCCTTCATCACTTTGAAAACACAACAAACACAACTTCTCAGGGCGCGTCGAAGCAGAGCGAAACAATTGGAACTTGTCGGTCCAGTCGGAAAACATACTAAACAATTGTGCAGACCAAAGCAAAAGATATCATACATGATTTCACCCGCCAAACTCCAGATCCCGATCCTGAGGATACAAAAACAAAACTTGAAAAAAATCAGCAGACCACGCCAACACACGCCAAAAATGTGATGCAACAACAGAGAAGAAAAGACGCGACACAGCAACAGATCCGGCTCGATTTCGAGATCGGCACTCCGAGGTCATATACCGAGACGAAATAGACGAGGGCCTCCTCGGAACTTCAGTTTGAAAATGGCAGCGAAGCGGACGACTCCCGTCTCTTGGTCTCCAGCTCTTCTATCAATTTGGCATTGGTAGTTTGGAGGTCGAGGATGTGACGACAAGCCCTCTCCAGGACCTCTGCTTTGCTCCAATTTCTCGACTTCTGGCCTGCTGCGGACGACGACGATTGCGACTCACCATCGTTCCCGGGCTCGGCTTTGGGCTCCAAGCTAGGGTTGTCAGGGAGCACTTTGAGGAGATTGTCAAAATACTCGTGCAACCGGTTGCGATATTGCTTCTCCACTTGGTTGTGGTTTACTCTGGCGCGGCGCTCTTCTGCAGACTCCCCCGGCTTCTGTGCCGACTTGGGGCGTACCACCTTGCGGGCGGCGGTTCGCAGAGCACGGCCCGATGCAGACACAGGAGCTGCTCTGTCTTGACCACACACCTTGCGGGCAGATTCAGGAGTCTTCTTCCTGCCGCGCTTTTTGGGTTCTGCCTTTTCAGGCTGCGACTGGTCGAGCGCGGGAGTTTGCAAACGACTGTCGACACCGGATGCCCCGATTTCGACACTTGGCTGTGAATAGCTGGGAGAGGATACAAAGTTGTTTGCATTTACGGCCTCAGCAAAACCCTCCAGCAACGGTCCAGTTGCCATATTGGGCAATTCGGACCGCAATGCGATTGTTTCCGCTGTAGCGGCTTTGTCAAATGATGACCTCATCGGCCATGCGCTCTGTTCCACACTAAACGCAACACCAGGACTCGCCATGATATCGGAATTTTGCCAGTCGAAGCTGGAAACAGAATTCGTGGCATCGGGCGTGAGAGGGAAACTCATGTTGCTAGCAGCGCTACTCAATGTGCCCATGGGGCTGTGGACGTAGGCAGTCATGGCTTCTCCTCCGACCGGAGTTGATGGGTCGGCGGCCGGCCACGGTGCGCCGGTCTGGATGGCGTTATCAAGAGGGATTTGGCTTGGGAGCGCTGCGGTTGAGTCGACGCGTCTTGAGCCCACGCTGTGCGAAACGGAGGCTGCGCGAGCTGTGTATGTTTGGGCGAATGGGGCAGAAGAAAAATCATCGCTTCCGAGGTACATCTTCGCGTTCGGCATCATGGGGAAATCCTGCCACGGGGCAAATCCAAAGTGCGACGGCATCGGTTGAGATTCGACATTCGAAGGCGGCAATTGCCCTGGTTGGAACATGGGATACGAATACTGGATGTTCTACGCCATCTGTCAGCACAGGATCAAAAAAGAGAACGAAAACAAAACGATGTTTTCGATCATTCGCCGATGGCTTCCGCACATGTGCGCCGCGACCAATTCGACATTGGTGACGATTCGAACCGTTTCCTCGGAAAAAAAAACACACCACACGACTCGCGCACTGTGTATTCACGACATGAACGATGGCACACACGCAGAACAGCGAAAAAAGGTATTGCCATTTGTCTGGGTTTTCAGCTATCGCCATGTTCACTCGTAGCTGAATACTAGCACTGGGCGAAGGTTTGCCTACACGCCGACTGGCCTTTCTTATCGCGATTTGGAGGCAGAAAAAATGGGTGACGAGAGAAAATGGGTCACGAACCTGATAATGAGCCATGTCGGATGGCCTACGGACGGCAGTGTGGCGGAGTGTTTGGTTCAAAAAGTCCATGTTTGCGTATCGCTTTCACGTTTGGCGATGGCGATGGCGATGGGTGTTGTGGCTGCTTCGGTTCGTCGCAATCGGTCCTTGTGCGGTGGTTTGCTGCTCTGGATTTTTAGCAAGGTACGCGGGGCACACGGTTTATGCTGTTCTGGCTGATCTCCCATCCTCTTCATGGGTACCTATTCCGAGCCCGGCAATATTTGGCTGCAACTTCGAATGGTGCTCCTCAGGGATGCTCGGCATTGGTCAAGCCAAGTGCAGTTATGTGAGCATCGGGGGTGCCAAAGCAGCAAGAAAGGCCAGCAGCGGACATGGCCTGCCACACTGACCACCCAACACACCGCAGCTGGTGCAGTTCAGACCCCCGTCCCCATCCCATGTCGGAGGCAATTCTTAGCGTCGGTTCTGCCCAGTGAGCAAGCACCCCTCTCCCTTCAACCCCCCAAACCCTGACATGGACGCCCAGCAATTTGGCAGCCGACAGGCCCCCCGAACATTGCGAGTTTCGCGCAGTCTGACTGCTCGGTTATGTGTTATGGGTTATCGGAGATGGCACGCATTCAGAAGCAGCAGCATTCGAATGTCCAAGGGCATCTCGATGGAGAGTGGCATTCGACGAAGATCGCTTCAACCCTCAATGCAATGGTGAGTAACGATTGCCCGGCACAATGAAGCAGACCCCCCTTCCATGTTTCCCTCGTTTCTAAAGACGGAATGGACGGGCTGACCCTCCGACTCCGAACAGTACCACCCTACATACTTACGTACCTTTGTACCTTACAGTAATGCAGCTCCGAAAATCCCACGTCCGCAACGCGCAACCGACAACACAAACAACAGATATGACGCCGGCATGTATACCACCACAGCCTCGCACTATCTTTTTGTCCCGGACGCTGCACCCATCGGCCTTTGGTGGAACAAGTTAAGAGTTCATGCTTGCCGACATTCACCCGCAAAGGAAATGGTCAGAGTCAGATGAGTGGCTTCTTGCGTTCTCTTTTCTGTCTAGCACTGGATTGATCTCTAGGGAAACATAATTGTTCGGGATTGCAGCTCGCAAGCCCGTTACGGTTCCGGTTTTGCACCAAAGAAAATCGGTGGAAATGCGAGACCCCACTCAACCTGATTGGTGAAGTGGGATCCAGTGGAGTTCGCCGACTGAAAGCACCTGGTGCTGCAAGTGTTCCAGTGGTGCCCCAGAGGTTGCCCAGTGATGGCCCAGCGACGGTCCCCACGATACGCAATTGTGGGAGCACTTTTGCAGCAGTGGCTTCGCTTTTTCCCTTGCCCAGACATGGATTGGCCGATGTTTCCAGCCTAGCACGACGCCCTTGTATAGTAGCGTCGCAACGGCCATTCGACACCTGTTCTCAGTCAAGCCATCGCGATCCGCCAATTCTTGCCAGTCTGGGACCCGGCCCGTGCACGGTGCAGATCTGGGAGATGATGCTGCTCGAGATCTCAGGGGTTTGTCCCCCCAAGCTTCTCCGCAGGTGAACGCTGCCTGCCCTCGGAGCGTCAGGGCCTCGGGCTGTACACACACACAGAGAGACACACGCCTGTGAGGGAGTGCTGGGACACGCTGGGAGCCTGGGACTGCTGGGACTGGTCTGAGGGGTGGGCTGGCTGCGGTGTGAGACATGGGCTCATCAAGTGCGGTGAAGGGGGGAAAGGCTCGCGACTGCATGGCCGGGCTCACCTACGGAGCCAGTAAGGATGAGCCTTGACAAGTCGCCAATCCCCTCCGCCAATCTCTTGCTGGATGTCCAGAGGTTCTAGGCAGGCCCATGAGGTCATTTCGCTCCCCCACGCCTTGCCAGAGAGACAGGTACGAACCTGCCCGCTGCCCACAAAACCACATGGGTTTTGGACCTAGCACCGCACACGAGCAGCCATTCGAAATTGTTCGCAGAGACGATCACCTCGTAGCAAGATACAGCACCACTGAGCCCACTGATCGGCTCCGACTTTCGCCCGTATGTCATTGACTCTGTCGGTGAACATTGGCAAAAGAGGGAGCTCAATTTGTCGAGGGTTGTGGTGGGAGAAGGCGCTTTCGCTTCTTCAGGCACGCTCCAACCTTGATTAGCTTTCTTGGGTTCTTGGCATGTGGATGCTTGGCCCTGGCGGCGCGTGCCGGTTTGGCGGTGATGTGGATGACTGCAAAGCTGTGGATGCACTAACCAAGCGAATAGGATAGCGCTTACGACAGTCTCTTCTCCCCATTTCGACCGGGAAATTATGGATTTGCGGTCCTTCATCTTGCCAACAAACCACCTTTCTACCGACCATGTCCTTGTCCAGCGCCCGCTGAGCTGAGCTGGTGAGGGTATCCGACACTCGCGACAAAACCTCCTGCCTGGCTGGGCGTCTGTGAGGACCTCTTCTTCATTCACGCCATCGGAACACAGACAAATTGAGTTTGGGGGATGCGACGGGAGATGAGGTCTGATAGGAATGGAGATTGCGGCAGAAGCCAGCGGATATGCAGCTCATGCTGCCGCAAGCATGGTAATCCTTGAGCATTCGGCAGCGTTTAGCAAGTCATCGATCGATCCCTGAAGCGCCAAAAACGCCATTCTGCCACTCTGGACGGCCCATCAAACCTGACGTTCAGCCAGCCTACAACACTTCACAGTCTGAAGGTCAGCAAGATTCCATGAGTGCTTGTCATCCACTCGAGGCACTTCAGCTCATGGATACTGAAACCACGGGACGATGAGAGCGCACGTATACCACGATCGTGTGGCACTCACGTGGACGAAGGAAAAGGATCTGGTTGTTTTTTTTGCGCCGTTCCTTGTCAAAACGGTCAACATGCTTTACGCATGCGCCCACAAAACAGGGCTCAGCGTTATGGTTTTGGGAGATATGGAGATATCAGGGGCTGGATATCGCCTAGGCGTCCGGGGCGGGAAGAGGAAAGAGGCAGGCCGCGGCTGCGGTGGGTTCGGTGATGGAAAATCGTACGACATGGCAAATGATCATCTCCAATGGTCTCAACGGTCTTATCATGGAATTGGGCTTGTGGGACGGGAGAATGCTTGAAGGTGAGCAAGATCCGTTCTTGATGAATGGGAAATTTCGTTTGAGAACACGGTCAACACGGTGAACAGCGCGCCCTCAACAAAACAACACACGAGATTGATTTGTCGATTCCTCGGGCTGTCAGGACGGACCGCTGCGATGCGCTGCTGTTGCGGCGCACCCAGGGGTCAATCTGATTGTGCTCGAGGTCAGGAGATTGTCTATTTCTAGAAGGTGAGCATATCAACGCTTGAGTGATCACGTTTTACGACCTATTCTCGCGCATGAATTTGATAGAGACGAATCGCGATGGCAGATGTCTCTTGGATGCCACGTCGCAGCCGTGTATGTTTTTGTGGTCTGTGGAATGCCTGGCCTGTTGCTGGCTGCCGCCCCCTATCCGAAGCAAAAGCAGCCCCTGGGTGAGGGTTCAGTTTTGCCGGCCGCGAGTCAGTTGCCGTAAAATTGGCGGCTCCTCTGAAAGGCACACAGAAAAAGCCACCGGATTTACACTGTCCAAAACCCAAAAGATAACTCCAGTGCCAAGTATCTGACAAAAAGAAAGTTCATTCTCAAAAACCCGTTGTCGAGATTGCAAGACAACACACGTGTTCATTCATGCTCGTCGCTCGGTCTTCTGCTCGAATCCGTGGACGCGTGGACGCGGTTACTCTGGTTGATGCTATTCCAAGACCCCTAAAACCCCTAGGACTAGTTCCTACTCGCCCTTTCAACTGGGTGGTCCTCCGTCCGAACCTACTGTGTAGACGATCAACGATGGAAGTAATCTTGCCTAACATACAGTGTACAGTACCCCCAAGACTAAACTATCGGGCAGGCAGGTAGGTCCCTGAATCCTGACTGACGTTACACACAATCTAACTAATAACCTCTAGCGTAGGAGTGTAGCAACCTCAACATCGGGTCCAACTCCAATCCCAATCCCACCGAATCGACCGCAACGTTTCTTTTCGTTTCGTTTTGTTTGGGCTTCGTTCGTCTCGGATATCGATCGGGAATTAGACATATCTATTACCTACCAGCTTGCGCAAAGGTGATTTACACTGTCACTAAGCACTATTGATTCGGGCATTGCAATGACTTTGACAGGTAGTTGCTGGCCCTTGTTGTTGAATACCTGTCGATGTAGCTGGCAGAAGGTCCGTTACAGGTAGTGCAGAGCGAGTAGATGTGTTTTCGCTGCCTTTTTGATGTCCATTACTGGCTGGCTGGTCCATTCATTCATCTACCTACGGGATCACGCCTGGCATCGTGGCGATAATCACTCCCAGTTTGTCCTTTCTCACATATGCTTGCGTTCGTGGTGTGTGTCATGGGCGCCGTCCTGGCAGCAGGCACCCCACGCATGGAAGCGGCGGAAGCGGCAGTGGAAGCGGGAAGGAGAGAGGAACAGAAGGGAAGGGAATACCTATTTGAAGCTACCTCACCTACGAAGTGGACAGAAGGCGAGATCACACTTCCAACATACCTACGTTTGACGACCATCCATCTATATTGGGTTACATAGAGGTCGCCAAAGCCTGTACCTGACGCCTATAAGCCTCCAAGGTTGAACGTCCTTTGCACAGCTGGGATGGGAGGAAAAAGAGAATCGAACGATTGATCGCCGCCCCGACCGACGGTTTACTATCGATTTTTTGTTTTCTCTTATCGAGCATTCCGCGCCCGGATACGATAGGTTGGCACGCTAGGATAAATGTAAAAAACATCGGTTGGAATGATGTCGTTGTTGAAACTCGGTTCGTCGTCGTCGTTGGTGGTCGTCGTTGTTATTCATCATTATAGTTCACTAAAAATGTTAGGTGTCTCACTGCAGCGCAGGTCGGCAGGGCAGTAGTGATCAATAGAGTGCGGGAAGCGGGAAGCTGTCCTTCTCCCGAACGATAGCCCCCTGTTGACACTGGCACTCACTAGTACGACCCCCACCCTTGTGGGACAGCAAGGCTTGGACCCGTGAATTTGTGCAGTGTTTTGGGCGTGGACGTATTTGGATGCCGGACCGGCTGGTATTGCTACAGACACGGCACTCCGTCTTCAGCCTTCATAGGATGCGGTGGATTTTGGTGGCTTGTCGTTCGTTCGAGGAACAGGCGAGGGCAAGGTAAGACAAAAAGAACCCTACCCAAAATGGACACCCTTCGACAAGGTGAGCTTGAAGGGTCCGAAGCAAGTAAAACGGTACCTAGTGGACGCTGTACAGTATTGCCGGCCGGATGAGTACGGTTGCATTTTCACCTTGGTTGTTTAATGCTGCTCTCCAGTCTCTACGAATCCACCTACTATTACTCTAACTCCGTCCGCAATTATGCTTACGGCTCCAGCTGTGTCTCGGTCAGTCAGGTCTCCTTCGGGACCTCTGCGGGGTGTCGCATTTTTGTCTCTGTGCAAGTGGAGGTCACCGGCTCACCGGCTGGGTCAGGTCAGGTCAACTAACTTGTCAACTTTTGTCGAGTGGGAGTGAGCAGTCACTGTCATTCCGGAAGGGCATTGGTGAGAGTCCGACGACTTGGAACCTGAAAATGCGGCAAGAATGTCTCAACCGAGATGAATGCCACATGGTGCCGTGTCGTGTCGTGTCGGCGGCATTTGGCTCGAAGGGTACGGGCTCAAGAAAACGCGTGCTTATTCCCGGGACTGCAACATTGAATTGGGAGGTTGGCTCGTTAGGTGCGGTGCCCGACAGCGACTGGGTGGACGGAGCGGCGGCCGCGGAGGAATTGGCCGCGGAGGAATCACCGGGTGGCGGCCGCTCAGTGCACACGAACCTGTGGTCCTTGCCGTACCAACCTTCAAATATGGGGGAGGTGCTGAACGAGAAAGGTACGATACCGAATGAATTGGACCTTGGGAAGCAAAAACCTAGATCGACTGTACGGTGCGCTTCGTCTTTTTGACCCCGGCCCAGACTTGCCTGGTTCGCGCCAACTCGTCACTCCTTTCAGTTCGAGAAACAAAAGTACGATGATGGAGGATGGATAAGGGAAGTTTGGTCTTGTGTCACCACCAACGCCTCCACAGTCGCGTCGGCAGTGCTAGGTTACGCGCCAGAGAAAGGTTGGTTGCATTGAATTGATGACTACAGATAATTGGTTTCCAAGTTTGAACAACTCCTTGGAAGGCGAGAATTCCCTCATTGTTCAGGCTGATAAAGCGACGAGAGGATAGGGTGATTGACGATGCTTTAGGTTTGGAGTCGCAGTTGAAAGAAGGGTGATCGCAGAGGTCATAAAGCATGGGAATATCACGAGTATTTTCAAAACATTCACTCCGCGTGCACCAGACCCAGCTTACGCGGACCACGATCAATTGACGGAAACCACCAAACCTAACATCACCGGGCATCGCCACACCAGCATGACGCTTCTCACCAGCTTCACCGCCAACCTCACCTCCTCCATCTTCCTCTCCCTCTCTCTAGTCTCCACCATCCTCTGCACCCTACTCATCGCCCTCGCCCTCCATTACACCCTCACATCCCTCCTCTCTATCCTCCACCCCCATCTCCGACACATCCCCGGGCCCTTTTTCGCCCGCTTCTCCTACCTGCCCCTAGCCCGCCAACACTTCGCCAGCACGCTCAACCCCTTCTATCGCTCCATCCACGCCCGCTTCCACAATCGTCCGCTCATCCGCATTGCGCCCAATTACCTTCTCACCAACGACATCGAGGTCTTCAAGCGCATCAACGCCGCCCGGTCAACCTACAACCGCGATGGCTGGTACCAGGCGATCCGGTACCACCCGACGGAGGAGCACATGTTTAACGTGCTTGAGGGTGGGAGGCACGACAAGATGAAGGCGAGGGTGATGGGGGCGTATGGAGGACGGGAGGTAGAAGGGGTGGAGGGACAGGTGGAGGAGGTTGTGGGGGGGGTTTGTGAGGCTTGTGAGGGAGCGGTACGTTGAAGAGAATGAAAAGGGTATCAAGGTGGCGGATCTGGCACCGCTGTGCTCGTATCTGACCATGGATGTGATTACCAAGTTGGGGTTTGGTGAGGAGTTTGGGTACCTGAAGAGGGAGGAGGACGTGTTTGGCTTCTTGCAGGAGTTCAGGGAGGCAAACTGGCTGATGGGGATCGCGAGCGACTTGCCGTATCTTAGGAATGTGTTGTTCTCGAGTTGGTTTTTGAGGTGGTTGGGACCGAAGAAGACGGATAAGAAAGGGTTTGGTAAGCTGCTGGGTGGTGTAGATGAGATTGTAGAGAAAAGGTGGCAGGAGTGGCAGAAAGCGAAGGATATCAAGCATAGGGATATGATGGTACGTTTTCAGTTCTTGACAACTGGCTTTGTGGTGACATGCTGACAGGCAACCAGGCTGCCTTCCTCAGGAATGGTCTGACGCGGGCCGAGATCGAGCACGAAGTCGTGTTTATGATCACCGCCGGCTCCGACACCACCGCTACCACAATGCGGACGACCATCCTCAATATCATCACCCATCCGAACGTGTATCTGGAGCTCAAGAGAGAGATCTTCAAGGCCGCACGGGATGGCAAGGTTTCCAATCCGGTCAAATATGAGGAGGCCAGAGCCCTTCCGTATCTGGAGGTGCGTTAATCAGGGGCTGTTATGCAATGTCAGGCTTAGTACAAAATACCTACTCACGTCTAAAACAGGCAATCATCCACGAAGGTCTGCGTATGCGACCCCCAGTAACCGCTCTCTTTCTCAAATCAGTGCCACCGGAGGGTGACACCTTCTGCGGCCACTTTATTCCCGGAGGCACGGCCATCGGTGTCAACATCTCGGCCATTAACATGTCAAAGAAGCTCTACGGAGACGACGCCGGATTCTTTCGTCCTGAGCGGTTCCTCGAGGTTAGACAGGATCAGCGTGAGGAGATGTACCGAAATGTCGAGGCGATCTTTGGCTCGGGAAGATGGACGTGTGCCGGGCAGAACATCGCTTGGATGGAGCTGTACAAGTTCTTATTCGAGCTGTTCAGAAACTTTGACATAGAGATCGCTGATCCCATGAAGCCCATGAAGACTGGATCACAGCATATCTGGCTGGATCAAGACTTTCTTGTTCGGTTCAGGGAGTCGAGGACGGACTACTAGGCATCTACCTCCAAGGTCCTTTCCTGTTTTACCAGAAAACGAGACACCGAACCTCCACACTCTCCCTCCACTCCCCTTCTTTAGCATCCAGGTCCTCAACAGCGCAGTGCGGTGCCCTCCTGGCCATCTCAGCGGAACTGTTGCTATCAAAGCACTTGATTAGCACTACCTCGTCCGGCTGTTGTTGGTACTTGAAGTACCATCGATGTTCCGGGTTAGGCTTGACCGTCCAGGACTCCCTGCGCTGTCCGCTTTTGAGGATGATGGATCCCGGAACGAGGTCGGCGTCGGAAACAGTGCGGGCGTCGCAGACGGCTAGGGGGTCTTTGTGGATGGGCTTGATAGGACGCCAGATCTGCAATGTGTTAGCAGAACCTGCATTTGATCCTTCGCTGGGGGTTCGTGTGAGATGTGGAATGTGTATTTCCGGACGCCTTGCCATCGACATGCCCTTTTTTTTCATTCAGTGACGGGCGTGTCTCCGGTGTTCAATTTGCACTTCAGTGTAGTTCCGGAGCCAACGCCGTCTCTGAGATAACTGGCTGGCTAATTGAAGCCTTCCATCCCATCTTGTACTTACCTAAAGCAAGTAGTGCATCAACTGGGTTAAAGGAGAAAGATGGGCAGACAGCAAATGGAAAGGAATCAATTTAACCCACATTAACAATCCCCCATCTCCTCTGCATCAGCAGTCCCCCCACTTCGTCCGCATTAGGTATCTTCTCCCTCAGCACCATCTCCGCCCCGGCGTATGACTGGTCCACGTGTGCGCGATGCAGCGGGCCCCGGTACCGCACGTTGTACACGGGAATGTCATGCCAGTCAGAAGGGCCGCGGCGGACCCGATGGTCAAAGGCGAAGACGCGGGATGCACCGGTGCTATCATCTCGGGAATGGCTTGTTAGTCCGGTCCTGTTAATCTCTGTGCTGGCTGCGGTTGTTTCTTGATAAGCAGGGCACGGCAAGGCAGGAAGTAAAGTGAAGTGAAGGTATCTCGAACTTAAAGGCCCTTTGAAAGGGGGTTGGGACACCAAAGAAGAGGGGGGGGGGGGGTACACGAATATGCCTGAAGGATATAGAACAGACGGGAAGAGGTATTGAAGCTGCACAGGCTTATGTAGATCTCCCACAGTTCCCACTTGGAAACGAAAGTCTAGAACCTCCTTTGGGATGTCCTGGCGTTATTTTTGGGATAAGAAAAGATGGGGAATGAACTGAGGAGTGGAGCTTTGAAGCTCAAAAAAGGGTGACTTGACTGTCCCTGCATGATGGGTATGCCCTGGGAACTTCCCCCCGTTAACTGGAGTGTGCCTAGCCTGGCTGGGTTGGGTGTAATGCAGATTGCATGTCAGTGAGTTGCAGCCAGATGCAAGCCAGATGGATGGCTCCATATCGGCTGGCGATCCGGCAGCCGCACACTCGTAAAGGTGTTTCCATGCGACTGGGGGCCCTTTGATAGCTGGACATCATGGAGTATGTTTTTAGGGCATCATGTGAAAGATAACGGGCCTGCATCTGTAGGTACCTTAGGAAACACCAACGCTCTCGGGCCCTCCATCCGTCCAGACCAGACCAGCAACATGAAGTAAGGTAGGATAAAGAAGGCCAAGCCAAGCTTGACAAAGCACTTACACATCTCTCAACAACCCCTCGCACTCGGCAAAATATTCCCTCTGGATCTTCTCCTCGTCTGCAAACGCTTCATGTTCCACTCCCCCCCCTCCTCCTCCTTCTTCATTGGCGGCGAACTCGCTAACGTGCTTCAGGTACTGGAACCCGTTTTGATCTAGAGTGAAGCTTGTCTCGTCGCCCGTTACGTCGGTAACGGTGGTCGTAACGGGCAGCATGGGTCGTTTGTTGGTTACTTGGTCCCTAGCAGGAAGGTGGTGATGATCATCGTCAGCGTTCTTGGTGTTCCACTTGGCGTGGAAGAATAATGGTCTAGAATATGGATGGGTAGGGGCTCATAACGTGATTATCATGAAGTGACGAAGGGAAGAGAGAGAGAGATAGGTTTAGGGGCATGGATGGGGGTGTGGGTTGTGGGTCATTCTCGGCGTGCGTGCTTTGTCATTTTTTTAGGGAGGTTTTGCTGCTGGATGATAACCCCTATTCCGTTTGTTTTGTTGGAAGGACACTCATGTCACAATTGAGGTACGTATAGGTAAGGCAGGCCTAGGCCTGGTGCACGCAAAGCAATGTCGTGGACAAAAACGAAAGAGGTCTCCATACTTGCCAACGTAGACCGGCGTTGGAGTGCTTCCATCCCCTGGGTCACTGTAGTAGTTGATCGTAGTGACGATGTCATGGCGGGCTGACTTTTCTGTCTCCATATCGTATTCTGGTGTCTTTGGCAGGTGAACCATGAGCTCTCTTTGCTGTCGTTTGTACTGGGAATGATGCTGGACGAATATATAAGGAGCTTTGAGTGGCGAACGTTCCGTCTGTTCAGGTTAGGGCCGGCTACAATGAACCGAGCTGGGTTGTACTAACGTCTCCCGTGTCCGAGTCACTCGGCATATGGCCAAGGTTGCGAAACCCCGCACGAGGAAGCCGGTACACATGATAGGCTCTTGGGGCTGTTGAGTGAAGTAAGGTAGGTATGCGGCGCGGTTGAACTTCAACTAGCCAGGTCGATATTACATTGGTTAGTAGAAGCAGTATGGCTCATCCCGTAGAGCACGCTTGATTCTCAAGAGACGCCCATAACATCAGCAACAGATATCTCTCCTGCCTTTGTGGCAGTTCATATCGACTGGGAACACAGGATCGGATGAAAAATCGACATTATAATACAATATCGCAAGCCATATACGACAGAGAAGATCAAGCACCAGCACCTCCACAATATCCAAAACCAAACATCCCAAGATTGTCGCCTCAAAACCACCCAAATCGAGCTCAAACACACCTCCAACTCCCCGCCACATTCACATCCCCCTTCCCATCCCAAACGGCCCTTTCGGGGTACGCACAAACCGGCCTTGTCCTATACACCTTCCCACTCAAATCCTCCGTGAACGCCGTAGCAACCACAGACTCAACTTCTCTCCCCTCCTCCACCCACTTCACGAGCGCACTTAGCACATCATATTTGGCATCTCCCAAATGCCCAGGGACCGACCACCCGTCTCCAAACGCTTGCAACCCCGTGCCCAACGCGGGCAACATCCTCAGCTGCGAAGCCTGCCCTGGCGCTCCGAAATCCCAGGGGGCGTTAAACCGGTTGCTGAAGTAGCAGTGTTGCATGCCTGGTACTTCGAAGTGGCGGAACCAGTCACGGATTTTCGGGACGGAAGTTTGGAGGGAGGAAATAGTCGCGTTGTAGTAGGCCAAGGAGGTGCGGGGGGATATCAAGCCGTCGGCGAGGCCGTGGTACATGATTATTTTCCCTCCTCGTTTTTGGTAAGAAGACAGGGTAGAGAACCGGTTGGCGGTTGCGAGGCCGGGATTTATCCGCTCTGAATTGAGCACGACTTGGTCCGAGTATTGTTGCCAGGTGTAGGACTGAGAAAGGTTGTAGAGGAAGTAGCGCTCGTAGGAGAAATCGAAATCTGTCAAAGCGGCGTCGGTGCCGAAGTAGACGGACCATTGGTCTTCGGAAGAGAGTGTGAAGCCATTGTAGACTGTCCGGTTTTGACCATCGCGGTCCTTGATGATGTAGTCGGCCAAGATTTTGCTGGTCGTGTCGGCTTGCGCGCGGGTGAGGCAGCGGGAAGGGTCCGAGCAGATGATCTTGGAGATATCGAAGCGGCATTGGTCGGGCTGGCTGATGATGTTGTCTTTGACGCCGTCTTGGGCGTCGCATTGACGGAGGACTTCAGTGGCGAGGATGGATAGCTGTGTAGCCCGTAGTCTGCCGTTGGCCGTGGTATTGAGCTGTTGGGAGGCGATCTTGGAGATCCAAGGCATCAGGTGCATGGTGTCCCAGGCTGGGGCGCCGATGAGAGCGCCGTCAAAGCTGTTGGCGTCGTATTGGGTTTCTCTCAATCCTTGGCGGCCTCCAGTCGAACATCCTGCGTAGTAGGAGTAGGTTGGCGAGTTGCTGTAATAATGGGCGACGAGCAGCTTGCCGACCACGACTGAACCGTGGAGCGCTCGGTAGCCCCAGTCGTAGAGTCGCGCTGATGTTGCCCAGGAAAGGTCACTCCCCGCTGAGTTGTGGCCGTTGTCTGTCGATATGGTCGCGAAGCCATAGTGTGTTCCTTCGCTCATGCCCGGCCAGTTGATGCCACCAGCAAACGAGGCGCCGCCTACGGTGAGAATCCTCGAGTTCCAGTTTGTCATAGTGGGGAGGAACAAGCCGACGCGGTAGCTGGATACGGGTTTGTCGGGAAAATCAGAGGTGTTGGTAACTTTGACTGTCACGGCACATAATGCCGGGAGCAAGTCAATCGTATTGGGAAACCCTTGGTTTCCTGATTCCGAATAAGAGCCACGTTCCGCTATCGATGCGGCCTTCTCGACGGCGACAGTCACGCCAGGAAGGCTGACCACGTTTATAAAGGAACTAGCGACGCATCTTGGGCTTTGTCGTTGGCGGAGAATTCCCCCTCCAAGTTCAGCAAGGGAGTGGCTGATGAGGAGGACGTAAAGAACAGCCGAAAATGCGACGGCCAACATGGCGGTACTGAGGTAAGAAAGACGGGACTTTGTAGGGCTCGCAATATGCGAGTCTGCGCATTCCCGGTCCATGGCCACAGTTCAATATTGTGCACTTTATAGAGCAATCAACGTAGGGTTACCAGGTTTCGGGCGACTTTCCGTCGCGTCAGACCTCCTCTCGTTGTCCGTACGAGACACCCGTCAGAGAATGATCTCTGGTGACCTGATCCCATGATACGGTGCCGTACCCCAGCAGATCGATTTTGGCGACCCCGAGAGGGCTATATTCGGCGATGCTGGACGTGTTCCAGAAGGGTAAGGTGTGTAGGTTTCGGTATGCGACAGTGACGTATAAGATTTTGAGGGAGTGCAATATAACGAAGATGACCGTCACTATGGTAAGACCCTGGCCACCCCCAACGATTCGGTGAGATTAAAGAAGAAAAGGGTATGAATGACACCTGGACGCAACCCTTCCTTGGAGAAGTCCTAAGCTTGCCGCCGTCTATCGTAATCAGATGCCGCTCCTCAGAGACTGGTGATCCCAACGATCGCGACTGAGGTGGATGCATTAGGCAATAATGTGGCAGGCAGGATAAGCGGTGCCCGGCTGCGATTGGGGTTCGATGAGGACTGGTGCGGCTGATGTTGCTCCGTAAAGCTGACAATACCGACGATGGTTGGGTCGAGGTACAAAAAGAAATGAGCAAGGACCCAGGTGCGAACGCGATGTCGTTAAACCATGCCGAATGTATCCGGAATCGGTATTATCTGGCCTGAATCATTGTCCATAAGAAGGGTAACATCACCTGCACGACATTCCCAGCCTGGCGGTACTGTGCCATCAAGGACCCATCTGTCCACCGTCCCTGGAGCCGGGTAGAGGTGTTGAGCGTACTGGCCCGAGGACATGGAAGCGAGTCGGTGACAGTCGTAAAGATTGCGACAAAGACTGTCTGCTAATATATGTAGTGAACAGACACCAAGCCCAGCACCCTTGATTGGATCAAGGGTTACATTGGGTAACCGTCAGCTGGCCATCGAAAGGATAGAGAAGGGCAGTGTGCTGGAATAGAAAGGCCGACAACCACGTAGGTCTCGCGAACAAATGAGAATCGTCGACCGCGGGACTGGCTGGTATAGAATGGTCAGAGACCGCTGGGTGTACATGACTATAATTCAAACGGCGAACTAGAAAGACAAGCGAAGAACAAGAACACACATGAATATCCGGGGGCATCGCAAGAAAGTGATTCAAGTCGCTTGGCTTGAACTATTTGTAGCTATACTAGGACATGCCAGTCACTGGACAAGCAAACCAACCTGTCAGTCGCATAAGGACCATGACCAGGTGCAATATATAGCTAGTCTGTCAAAGTGGACAATAATGTGGTCGGGACGTCATACCGCCGTAATAAACATTTACAGAAGCATTAGAAGGTCGATCGCTCAAAAGTCGTTCATCAAACCGAGTGGCCTGCCTCGGTTATGTGATCCATCATGATTTGGCGTAGTAGGAAGGGGCATTACATCAACGCACTCCTCTCATCAGTCATCCTCCTCCGTCCTCCACAGGCCTAGATCAGTTGACGCGGTAGGCATCGTAGACGATCTCGGCGCCGCGGCGGCAACCACTGCCGACCCAGACGCCGCTGTTGAGATCCGCGTAACGCCCGTCACCAGTCTCCAGCTTGATGACAACACGCAGCTTGTAGCGGTTGGCCGCAACGTTGTCTGCGGCGACCGGGTCCTGGAGACGCTCCATAATCTCCTTGTCGCCGACCCACCAGCCCTCGACTTTGCAAATGATCATAGCAGGTTGCTCCTCGTTGGTCTGGATCAGGTAACGGGCGTCGATCTTCGTCTCTGTTTCCTTAAAAGAGGTCTGAGTATCTTGTCCGTTGGCCTGTGGAAGCGATGGAAGTTAGCATACGTATGTCATGGACAAGATGGCCCAGTCAATGGATGATGGGATTACGTACAAGGACACTGCCCTTGCCCCAGCGACCAGCCCATTGGCCACCAATGCAAGAGATCCAGGTCTGACGGCCGTAGGGGCCGTCGCCAATGTTCATCTTGGGCTTGACCCGGATGCTCATACGGAAGTCAAGTTCGAGGGTAGGGGTAGGCAGAGCAAGCGAGGCGGCGACATCGTCCTCGTCGAAGTGGTGCAGAAGGTTGTTCGCCGGGATCCTGTCCTTCATAGTGGCCTGGTAGCCAGGGCACTGGAGCAGATGCTCACGCTGGCGGGACGTGTTCTTCGCACGCACTTGGTTGCAATAGATGCACTTGGCCGACAGGCACTTATCGCCCTCCTTAGCCTGGAACTCGACGAAGGCGGCATGGACCTCGGCAAGGGGAATCTCGGGCAGGTTGGGGTTGGTCTGCTTGGTCTTCTGGCGTTTGGCGGGAGGAGCGCTGGATGCGCCAGACATGGGGCGAATGTGCTGAGGGATAGGGGTGCCGGTGCCATGAGGGGTGCTGGTGCCGTTGATGCGGGCATTCGGAGTGAAGCCCAAGTTGGTGTGCTGATGAGGGTCGAGTGAGGTAGGCTCGGGATAGACACTGGTCGCGCCGACATTAGCGGCGGCCTGGTGCTGGTTTTGAGCCTGGTTGGCGACGTTCAGGTTGGCGTTGTTACCGCCGTTGTCCTGACCGGCGCCGTGGCCGTGACCGCCGGGACCATGGGAAATGCTGCCGCCGTGGCCGCCCGAGACGTGTTGTTGGGAGCCATCATGGACCTGGGCATGCTGCTCAAGAGAAGACTTGATGGCAGCAGCGGCCTCAGGGTGCTGGGCGAGGTAGGCAGTGCATTGGGCGAGATGCTGCTTCTGCCTGGTGGTGTTCTTTGCGCGGACTTGGTGGCAGAAGAGACACTGGACCGACATGCACTTTTCCTCTGTTTGGTGGAGCCATTCAGGACCGAGTCAGCCTTGATCTTCATTCATCGGCAACAGCAGGCTGTGTATGGTACTGTCACCGAATAGTACCAAATGTAAGATGTAACAACGCGCGATTGGTAAGGATCACATCGCGGTAAGGACGGCGGTAAGGATGGCGTAATGAAAGGAAGGGTGAAAATACCTGCGTTGCGGAATTCCATAAACGCGCTGTGCACGTCCGCCTCGATGGGCCTCGGCATGGTTGCTTGTCTGTCTGTGAGGTTTGGAAAACGCGAGACTGGATGCTGAGGCTGGGCTGCCGAAAGAAAGAAAAAAAAATCGGTAAAGGTTGTTTCGAGGAATGAAATTCGAAAGCACTTTGTCCCAGCAGACACCGAACTTTGTTGCGCGTCTGGTCGGCGGAAAGAAATTGCACGTCACGCACGGGACGGTGACCAGCACAATACCTCTGCCCAGCTAACAAAATGCGCGGACAACGGCAGGCATTTGGCACGGTCCCTGCTAAGGCAAGGTGAATGGAAATTTTGGAATTACCTTAACGCGGACCGTCCGTAATGTCGCACATACAGTGCTATGATTGGTCGATGGTCCTCACTGGTGTCCACAAATTAAAGTTGGTGATCGCTTTAGCCTCACAATGTTCCCCGCACTTGTTGGACCCAGAGCAGTCCAGACGGGAGCTGTTGTGACCTGGTCCTCAAGCGGTAGTGTACTCTTCTGACCTACAAGCGCCTCAGACACTTGGCCACCCCAAGGTGAAGAAAACGATTCTAGTCCCGACGAGCATGCTTGCCGCTGGATAATGACCCGACAACCGGAATCAAGCACGGGAAGAGGGGGAACACAAGCACCGATTTCCCAACAAGGACCCTCCGGGACGGGCGAGACCCAGCAGAACAGTCCAAGGTAGACCCACCGAGACGAGCAAGTTGCCCAGAGCAACGACAAAGCTTCCTCGTGGACGTGGGGTGCCTGGATGTCAATGTCTCAAAGGGATCAGGGCACGGCAGCGCTACTTCACTGCCTGCCGCCCGGCAACTACAGACGCTCCTTGCCGATTCGACTAGATTCGGAAAGCCTTGTCCTTCTCAAGATGGGGAAAGGGGTCGGCAGTGACGTAGCTAGAGCACTGAGGAACTGCTATCAAGGCGCCGGCCGACAAAGGCTAGCTCTACCTAGAGGCATGCTACCAAACACTTCGCCATGCAACCAACGATGGCCATGTCGGCTACAAGTGACTGGATCATCCTCGTCTGAAAATGCCCACCAGTGAACTTGTGAGCTACATACAGTGGAATTGTCACAGGGTGCTTGGATGGTCAATATAATGATGCATTGCAATGTTCGTTGGCAAGCGAACATCGTCCTATCTTTTACGTTTGACTGTGTGGGCATATGCATCCCTGCTCTGTCATAAAAATCCCAGAACAGGCAGAAGAAAAGAAGCCTGAAACCGAGTAAAACGAATGTCTACAAAGCCGATTAACTCGAGACTTGTAGGCCTATATTCAGTCTGTTCGGGCGCTTCCATATCCATTCTCTATGTGTGTTCTTAACGATAGTCGTATGGGTCATCATTCAGAGTTGTTGTACTACCTAAGCAAACAAGCACACAGACTGTTCGTCATTGGACATTATGCTGTTCTGATACAGAATCCTCCTTGTGAAGAGACTTGCTATACTTTTGCTCCGGTAGCTACGTTTTCGGGCCTCTGATACATGGTGTTTTCATCTTCTTTTGCATAGCAATCACCACCTTCAGTTAGGATCGGTGCAAAGGCCAAGTCAAATACCCGAGGGAAGACAAGACCAAAACTGCAAGCTCCCGGGTTTCCGTGCAGTCTTCGAGTTTCCCAGAGTTCTCTAGGTACCATCTCTGGAAGTATCTACGGCTAGCTGACTACCTTTACGGTTACTTGCTGTGCCTGTCTAGTCGGAAAATGTGCCTGGAAGAGATATACAAAATCTCACCTTACCCGGTTCCTTGAATACAAAAAGTGCGGTTGGCGTATTGGTCTAACGCACCCGCCTTCCATTCAATGTTCAGGCAGCGGAGGAAGCGGACGACCTGGGTTTCAAACCCCGGACCGCGCAAGCGCTTTTCCCTTAGTCTGTCTCCCGGTTCTCTTCATTAAGATTGAAACATCACAACTCCTTATCGTTGTCCGAGCTCGATTGTGTGTGTGTGTGTGTGTACTATGTAGAGGCTCTTCCATCCGATACCAGCTTCGCATTGTCCTATATATATATTAGGTCCGCAGATCCCTCTGCCATCAAACAACCAAACAAAAGCGCGGTTGGCGTAGTGGTCAACGCGTTCGCTTAACAGATAGCGCTTCGAGTACCTGTTTGGTGTTCGTTGTCTATCCCTTTTTGGGGGGTCTTACAGACAGTGAGAGTTCCCAGGCTTTTTTTTTTTTTTTTTTTGTGTCTTGATGCTTGTGAGAGTTCATTCGGGGTGGACAGAGGAGGAGGGAGGGCCAGAATAGTGCGTTCGCAATGCCAATCGGGAACGGGAAAGAGTTCCCCCCCCTTGGGTTTTCTTGCCCTCATCTAGCTTTTGTTGCCTTGTCTTGGACCCTTTTCCGATCAAGCGACTCGTAATTTTTTTTTTTAACACTACGACCATTGCGAGTTCGACACCTCACTATGCACTTGGGAGCTAAGTGAGCTGGGTAGAAGACGTTTCCCTCGGCCTGGCATGAACTATCATATGGTCCACCAAGTTGATGAAGTAAGAACAGAACATAAGCTAATAAGAGGATGAGTCAACAACGTATCACCGCTTTCTCACATTTCATCAGGCGTGAGTTGCCCTTGCCGATGTCTAAGGGGGAAAACGGATATGTACTCTACCCCTGGCTTGATTACTAACTCAGTACTTATGGAGCCCACTTGGACACCTTTTGGCTGGCTAGGCGGGACTTTTGCCTAGAAAGCATCTGGTTCGTTATTGCCCGCCGGGAATAGATTCAAATTTTGGTGGTATGTATGCGGGATATAATTAATCGTTGCTCTTGGCCTGGTCTTGGAGTGGTTTGCTCCAATAGGAACGCTAGAATCCCTTATTTTCTTCCTGCTCTGAAGAGGTTGAGTCTCACGCTAACAATCAAACCAGCATTGAATAGTAACGACACGTTAACGCACATTTAAACACTTGTCTTCCGCGGATCCATAGGTCTGTAGGTTCCAGCGAGACCCGAACCTGCTGATTGTCCATCATCACTGATCCCACATTGTAGAAATATCAGAGCATGATGATGCGCTAGAAGCAAGACAAGATGATTGACATAGACGTGTTAGAAAAGGGGATACTTGAGTTTCGGTAATGTGTAAGGGATTGGCTTGACCAGATAGTAGTTATGACAATGCTTCTGAGGTCTAGACGTGAAGTCCCGTGTGGATAGCACATAACCATTGCCAGGATCTTGTGACTTCCACTGACCAGCCACTCTTCAATTGTGAGTCGGCCTTGAGCTCCGCACTCTTTCCGATAACCATACGCCCTTGCTTGGTAGTATCTCTGGTTTTCAGGTGGCTTTGGTCGGTTTTGGGTACGGTCCGCGAAAATCGCACAGGAGAGAGGAGTCATGGCTGAAAGTTCATGAAAATTTTCACGAGACCACCTGGGTGCAGGTATCGGAGCCGCTGGCCATGTACCAGATCGTCCCGTCACATCCGATCAGTCTCGACGCGGGGAGCTCCATTACAGTGTCCTGTTCACGTCGATCCACGTTGAGCAAAGGTAAGGTTATCTTGGAGCCGGAGATAAGACACGTTGCAAGAGGAGCACCGGAGCTCGTCTCCCTAGAGATGAGCGGATCTTCCAGAGAGGACTTGCGAGGATCCTCAACATCCGGGGGGTTGTGTCGTCAATAATGACATGGCGTTGAGAAGATCAACCTTAAACTTTAAGCTTGATGGTTGCTGTTCACGCCTTCTGGGTCTCCTCCAAGCGCCTGTGGTGCGTGTTGAGGCTCGTGTTCTTTATCGCCCATCTCTGGTTGATCCAGAAATTTGGTGTTGATGTTCGTGCTAATCCGTTGCTCGCATCGCCACCTCCGCGAATGTTCATAACAGGGGACTTGTAGTGTTCTTCCTTGAAGGGATCAACACTGAGTCTCTGATAGGGACCCTGTAAAACCCATGCCGTCGCGCAGAGCCGCAACCCACGAAACCTGCATGCGAAGGTGGATGTTCGCTTCGGTCTTCCGAAGGTCCACATCTTCATTCTAGTGCCACTTGATGATCTTGATGTGCAGTTGAACAGGAGATCACACTGTGTATGGAAGTCGCACATCTTGGCACGAATGGAGTCATGACGCTACAAGAGCGACTTTGATGCACAGTGAGGTAATTCGAAGCCAGAACTGTCCAGCTTGCCGTGTGATGTTGCGAGCTGTGCGGTATCGCCAGTCTTGGTGTCATTGAGTTGAGAGGCACTGAGAGGTGACGAGCACTCATACGCATGGAAGACTCTCAAGTGTTGATTTTGGGGTAAGTAGCACCAACTGTTCGCCATGAAGCCGTCAATCTTCCAGCAACTTTGCTCTGGTGTTTTTTTTTCCATGACCCTTTGGAGTTGGACCCCTGAAGAGGAGGCACTTTCTGGAAGTTGCCGATGACGCATCGTGCTGCCAACTTACACTGCCTAAGCAGAGGACGGGAACAGAGGCTGAACGGTGGAGATACGTACCGAAGCGAAAAAGAACCTCAACGGAGAATCCCGACAAAGTTTGGAAGCGACAGCGAGCTTGGCATTTCCAGCAGCCAAGTTTGCTGCCAATTGGTTGCGTCTGTCAGTGGGGGCGACGGCCCGAGGACGAAGCTTTGCCAAGTTGGGGCTATCAGCGAAGTGAAATTGTCGAGGTGATGACAGGGTTTGTTGTCAAAGTCGCGTGGGTCGGGTGTTTCGCGCGGTATTCAACAATCGAACGAGACAGTTCCAGAAGGAGAAAAACGAGAAGTCAACGTACTGAGGGCAAAGTGGAATTTCAATGGGCCTTGAACAGAAAAAATTTCAAGCATCTCGATGAACGTTGCTGATCGCATGATCGCGTCAGAGAAAAGGGCCGCAGCGCAATTGCAACCTTTCTTTTTTTCTTCACCGCCGTGGTCAAGTTCTTCAACAAATTGAACACATCGGAACGTTGGGTGGTTGAGTCTTTAACGTGCATTGACATGATCTGGTAGCAAGATCTGGTTTCATCTGATAATGAGCTGTCGCTGGTGTTGCCATGTTGAAGTTTTGGACTTTTCGGGTACTAATCGCTGATCAGATCACGTGAGGGCAAACACACGCCATACCATCTCCGAACCGTTGGGCCAGTGCGGTTTGCTCGGTTCCACTCGCTGTCGCGAAGACGGAGTTTTTTTGTTTTTTAAAAAAAAAAGGAAATTGCAAGGACCCCTCCACCACCGCACCCCGACCCTGATGCAATCGTACGTGATGCCGTCTCCATCATCGTTCACGGCGACCATTTGGCCTGGCCTTGCCCTCGCCGCCGTCTCGGACGGCGCCATCCATCTCGAGATCGGCGTGGTCCTGTCCACTGCCATCAGCTTTCGTAGGCAAGCCTTCATTCAACCATTGCGACTAGTGTATACGGCCAGAAGATCTAGCTTCGTACTAGAATCCAGAATATCAAGCGCTGAGCGACAATCAATGAGAGAAAAAGACCGCAACGACAAAAATCTTGTGGATTAAACCCCCACGCCGAGTGGACAAGCCGAACAAACTGCGACCAAAGCACAACCAGAACGAAGACTAATGCAATGCATGGAATATGGACGAACACTGTAACGTGGAAATCGAGCCGTCTTCGCCAGGTACGTATGTACATGTACGTATCGGTACACTCTGTGGATTCCGTTAGCAACAGCGGTGCGATGCTACCACCGCGACGACGTTTTCCCTCCATCTTTCCTTGTTGGTTGGTGGCGTCGTGAAGAGTATTGACCATCATATTTTCCAACATGATGAGCGCTGAAAATCGTAGGTTTAGGGTGCAGATTCACGAAACAGCATGCCGTTGAAGAGAAGATTATCACCGACCTTCGCTTTCTTATCAACATATCGCACTCCAAGAACACAGCTACAGGTCAATCCGGCGCCGAGCATGTAGCCCTATGACACAGTACGGATTCCTGCCGAACCGCTTCCCGCTGCAAATCCCGCTTGGCATTCGTCGTCCGGTCCGCAATCCGGCCTTGGTCGCTCTTCGGGTCGAGTGGGTCGGAGGGTCGGACCCGGATTCGACAAGCGGCACAGTGACAGGGCCGCAGGGGTGAGGTCACAGGGCAGGACGCCAGGGGTTGGTTCCGTGGCCCCCAACCGGTTCCTTATGCCAAGCGGGCCAAAGCGGCACGCCCGGGACCCGCAAGTGGTTCCTCCGTCCCCCGGATGGGGCTCTCGATGGGCTCTCGACATGTCAAGATGGAGCAAGTTCCGACCATGCCGGCCATTAAGAGAAAGAAAGTTGAGGAAGCCAACCTTAGAAACCTCAGATGCCCCGATTAATGCCCTTTTCTATGATTTTATGGTGTAAGAACAGACTCCCTACTGCCTTCACGATATGAACAAGCCTTCAAGTATGTAGGCATAATCCCAGTGTTGACATTGAACAACACCCAAATAAGATGGACAAACACGGAGTCCATGGACGGCCAACTCCGGAGTCATCACCGGTCCCTGGACCCTTTGGTTGCGAATACCGAAGCCATTGCCGGGTTCGTAGCCCGGATGGAGCAGTACACCTGAAGCAGCGGCCAAGAGGCGCGACAGAACGCTGCCTTTACCGTCCTCATGTCCCGTGAAGCCTCCGCTACCGACCTCACCTTCCGCTGTCTCCATACAACCAATAACCCCAGTGGACCTAAAGTTCGTCCAGCAACTGTTGATTCACACGGATAAGCGTTCACTTCCTCGTGAGATGCCACTATATGGGAGGAGATCTCATGTATCAACAGTGGACCGAGAGAATGATAAGCTCGAAAATCTGACAATCCGGTGACGCTGAAATTCTGTGATAAAGGCACCAATGCCGCCCATCTGATACCTACTTCCTCTGTTGGGCATCAACCAGATACGCAAACATTCTGCGCCTTGTTCTAACCATGGCGGTGACATTCGAGTAGTATTCTCGTCTGAACTGG